ATCATTAAGTAATGTGCTAGAAACTGGAGTTGCACGGTGAATAAATGACTAATCAAGCTCAGAGTTTAGTGAAAAAGATGTGAATGTCACAGAATACCAGGCAAAGCAGATCCAGGGCAGAACTCCAAAACTTGGAACCACAGAGATAGAAATATTTTAAAGGTTTGAAGGCTTATAGCTTGTGGAGTTTGGAGCTAAAGTAAAAAAATCGTGTACTTTTGAATCTGCCGGGCCAGGCTCAGAGGCCCAAGCTGACATGCTGGGCAAGACCAAGCGGCAAGACGAAACAGGGGGAGAAGAAACATGACGGAAATACACCACAGGAACCTTGGGACAAAGGTGGACAATATACTTTGTCAGTTTTGCTTTGTTCTGATTTTCTTTTTTTTCTTTGGTATTTGGTAATTGGCGCACCCACTGTTTGCCCACCTCCATTCTGATGAATAGAGAGAGAGCCTGAGCCAAGTGACCAACTCACTGCTGGTGGGTTCTTCTGCCACGCATACGCAGATACTCAGCCTAAGTGGAGACCCTGAACTTTTTATTATCTGTTTCTTTTTTGTTCTTTTTTTTTATCATGGAAAAGAGACGGAGAGGGCTGAAGGGAGGTAAAGAGAGTTTAAAGGCAAAACAGGCCAAAGGTTGGATTGGAGCCTGAGGTATAGCATAACAACCAACACTGGCAACTTGGAATCGCTCGGGCAGCTTTGAGGACAGGAACTTAGGACATTAAAGCCATACTCATATTAAACTACAGATTTTTTTTTTTTTTTTTTCAAAATTTTTTTCCTTCTTTTTCTTCTCTCCCTCCGCTCCCTTTTCTGTGATTAGAGACTGCGGTATTCAGTCTTGTTTTTGTCGGTACTGCTTTTTAGTCTTTTTTTTTTTTCTTCTCTCTCTCATTTTTTTCCCCACTGGTGTTGTTTTGCTGTTATATGCTCCCCCTTCTGCCTTTGGAGGACTCTTTGTCTCCCTATATTACACAAGAAGAGTCAGCAACTGCTGCCATATAGCCAAGCTACAATCACACTCTATAAAACACCAAAACCCAGGCAAGAACCAATACCAACTGCCATATACCAGGGAAACAGACAACACCTGTGAAAGTTACTCTGAGTTAAGCAATAAGAAGAATGAAAAGGGAAGCCCACATCCTGATCACATCTTCCTGGAAGCAATCAGAAAGCATAAAAAATTACCAAAACACACACTCAATTAAGTATCAAGGCCACAGATAAACATTAAATATGTCCAAGAAGCAAAAGCAGATAACCATATCAGCACATGTCCAGAAAAATGACGTGCATGTCAACCAGCAATCACAGGGGAATACTTAGGGGACTGTGCAAGTACAATACTGGGGACAGAATTTGCTTGTTATGAATTTTGAAACCTTTAAAAACATTATATGTGAATTTTTAACATGGGACAAAGTTCATTACATTGTAGCAGAGAAAACAGTGGAAGTGACAAATACTACAAAGATAGTTTTACTTTTCAAATTTTTATTTTGAATATTTTGAAGTTATTTAATTTTTTGGTTTAACTATTTAAATAGTACTGAATTATAATTAGCTGCTAAGTAAACAAGAGATCTTTGTGGGTTCCCCCCACCCCCGTTGGCTCACTTCAATTCAACTAAGGCATACGAGGGGGTTTCTTACATCTCTTATATATTCTTTCCTGGTTTTTCATATTTCCATTCCCAGAGTAGTCTACTTTACTTTTGTACTTGAAGGTAATATGTGTTGAAACTACATGATAGAAACAGGCTGCAACGGTGGACAAGGGGAATTGATGTGTTCTGATATGATACACCAATAAAAGGATTAATCTCACACTGGCCCAGGTCCAATTACAGGAGATTCCCAACAGTGTGGGGTGTGGCATGCAAGAGATGAAAGGAGAAAGACAGCAGCAGAGAAAGAGGCACTATAAGCGCCAGGAATGGAGTGTGTCCTTTGGACCTGGGGTCCCGGCACTGTGAAGTTTCTAAATCCAGGGAATGATTAATTTCTAGACACATGGAGATCTCCAAGGAATGCTGGTCCTACAGATGCTGAAAGGACATTTCCCCAGAGTCAGTATTCTGTCTTTGGACTTGTAGTTTCCTAAACTGTTGAAAGAATGAATGTCTGTTTGTCAAAGCAAAAAACAAAAAACATAAGGTGGCCAAGGGGGAAGCATATCCCTCTTACTTTGATAAATCAAATCAATGTTACACATAGAACCCACACACAGGTGGCGGCAGTAATGAGCGCAGGTGTAAGAACAATTGGAGGATGGCACAGGAGCAGGAAGTGTTTTGTTCAGTTGTGCACAGGGTCAGTGTGAGTCGGAGCTAACTTGACAGCACTTAACTACAACACATTGAACCCACATTTTCTGAAGTATTATCTTTATTATATTGTTGTTGTGAAGAGCTGTTGAGTCGATCCTGACTCAAAGCAACCGTGTGTAGGGTTTCCAAAGAGCAGCTGATGGGTTTGAAGTGTTGACCTTGTAGCTAGCAGTCCAGTGCTGACCCTACAGTGCCACATCAGGATTCATTACCGTCATTTAATTCCATCATGGAAGTCAGCCACATGCATTTCCTCTACTTTGCATTTAGCAGAGGTATGCTTGTACCCACTGGCAGCTGGGAGATGATGGTAGAAGGCTGCTGTACTTTTGGTTTATTGTTGTCCTTAGAGAAATCTGGGAAAATGGAGTTGGTCAGGCTTCCTTGTCCATTTCCGCTGAAGGGCCGCCCTAGTGAGTCAGCAGTCCTGGGCAGCGCCATGATAGTTTATGCTTATGTAACCAGTGATGGAACGAAGGCAGCATGCTTCTTTTGTTTAAGCCAGTATAAAGAGGGAGGAGAATCCCTCTCCAGAGTAGCGAAGAGAGCTACAGTGAAGTGAAAAGGGAAGCCTGGGGATACTAGAGCTAGACTGAGTGACCCTCTAATGAGCCTGAAGGAGTGACCCAGAATGAGAGGACAGAGCACTGCACCACAATAAAGGTCACGTGTCACCTTCCTGTGGCTCCGTGGTCCTTCTTCAGACTGTCTGAATCTACTAAGGACCCTGTGACCCTCATTTGGCAGGTTCAGGATGACACGGGAGGGCTGTAATTTGAACACTCCTCTGTTTCAGATCACCGGGGTGTATTAGAGGGGACAGTAGACATAAACAGAATTTAGAGGACTACAGAGTAGAAAGGTGACGTGTCCACAAGTTCTCAACAGGGGATCAACTCAGAGCTATCTACCTGTGCTTCGTGAAGCAGTTCAATTTTAAGGAAGTCAGTGGGGAATGAGTTTCTCCATTTTCAAACTAACCAAGGTCTGAGCATGGATCTTTTGAAATTCAGTAGTTGGTTATAGGCATTACAAAGGACAAGTTGTTTGATAACAACTGTTAAATGTTGTGGAGTCTTAGTTTGGGCAAATGGAATACGAATTGAGGCCTAATCGACACTGCAATGGCATGAAAAATATGGAGAAAATCCAATAGTATGACTATATGAAGAACCCAATTTAATTTATCCAGAATAATTCTCTCCATCCTCAGAATTTCAGATGAAGAACATCCACAGAAACTGTCTTGCCAACACCATCAGAACTGGAATTCATGCTCTCATCCTCAACAGTCTTGGCAGCTAAGAAAACACAGCTGATTGCAATACCTCTCAAGTACTTTGTGTGGGCCTTTACAGTAGCTAAGGAGTCCTGGGTAGGTAATTGTTGAGCTGCTAACTGCAAAGTCGGTGGTTCAAATGAACCCACTGGTTGCTCCGGGGAAGAAACATGAATCAGTCTGCTTCTGTAAAAATTTATAGTCTTGGATACCCTAAAGAGCATTCCTCTGTCCTAGGAGTCCTGGTGTGGCGCTGCGGGCTAATGCGTCAGACTACAAAGTCTGAACTGCAAGGTTGGTGGTTCAAGCTTACCAGCTGCTCCTTGGAAACCTTATACAGTGTCACTAATGGGTCGGAATCTACTCAACGCCACTTATCAACAACAGGATCACTATGATTCAGAATTGACCTCAGTGGCAGTCGGTTTGGCTTAAAAATTTTTTTTGTTTTTTACCAGTAGATAAAAATCTGTCCAAAAGCCTGTTAGCTTTCTGGGTAAAGTTTGAATTGGTACTTGAGTTTGGCCCAGTATTGAGTCCCTTCATCTCTCTAGGATGAAGAAACACTCGATTTATAGGCATTTTGAGCACATTGACCTTCCACATCTGGACTTCCCTAGAGATTGCTTTTTCCAAAAGGAAAGATAATCTCTGATTTCTCAAAGGCCTTTAGATATGTCTGTCACTCGGTTTGATGTAGTTACCTTCTCCACTGGTGTGGCGCTGTGGGTTAATGCACCAGACTGCAAAGTCATTTGAACTGCAAGGTCGGTAGTTCAAGCTTACCAGTTGCTCCTCGGAAAACCTATACAGGGTCGCTATGGGTCGGAACTGACTCGACAGCACTTCACAACAACAACAATAACTATTATCTCAAAAATAAACTTATGGTTGGTACTCATAAAGAATCAATTATTAATATCCATTTCAGTAATTATCCTTCCATACTCAGGCTAATGTATTTGGCACTGTTTTAAAAGTAGATTTGAGAATGTTTTCAATCTGTAATCCTTTTGGGCTCCCCTCTCCCCAAGATCTTCATTTGCTAAACCTTGGTCCATTCCAGTTATTCTTTTTTCTCTCAGTTTAATTAATGTGAAGGCAACATGCTTATTGTAGAAAATAATCATCCATGGATAAAATTAAGATTTTGTAATAATAGTTTTTAAATAATTAGCAATTTATCCTTTAATAGGCTAAGCATACTAAATATATTTGTGCTTTACCTTGTTATTATCATTTTAAAAATCAGGATATCTTGAAATAGTTATGTAGATGGTATCATCAGATGTAGGAGTTACAAGATAAAATATGAAATTAATAAGGACAGTGAATTTTTAACATTGTCCTTTGAGTAAGAAATTAAAGTCTTCAGAATGTTTAATTTTCATCTATCACCATCATTGTAATATAGTCCTTGTATTGAATTGAATTTGATTCTGGATCAATTGCAGCAGACAGCATTTCTTCCATTTCCTCTTGAGAAAAAGGTTCACCTGACAAGGAAAAGAAGGAAAAGGCATCATTTGTGATCTTGTGATTTTTTTTTCTCTTTTCCTTCCACTAACAAGCTTAATAGCCATGGAGAGCCACCAGCCCCCACTGTGTCAACAGTTACTCTCCCCCTGGGCTTCTGAGATGGCGGGTCATGACAAAGAGCATGCTGTTTGGGGCTTACCTTACCTTGCAGATACCAGAGATTAAGCAACTTATAGAACTGATCATTCCACCCAAAACAGCAGGAGGAAATAAAGACATACTGAATAAGGCTGTTTATTTATTGAAATAAAACTATTGAGACTGTCAAAGAATTAACATGAAGGCCCAGTCTGAAAGGGAATTTAATAATTATGTTTAGCAAAGGTATGAAGAGAGGCTTATATGGTTGCTCTGCAAAATTTCAGCAGTGTGAATCCCAGAAAACACCTTGCACAAGGAGCCCTACTGGTGCAGTGGTTAAGTATTTGGCTATTTAACAAGAGGTCGGCAGTTCAAGCCTACCAGCCGCTTTAGAGGATAAAAGACCTAGTGATTCTGACCTTGTAAGGGCACAATGAGTCAGAATGGACTAGAGGGCACATGCAATGTTGCTGAAGAGCAGATAACAGAGGTTTGAAAGTGTAATGCTAATCATGCTGAACATTCCCTTACCAGGGCTTGCCAATTTAATCATGCCAGCTAAACCCAGGCCGAGATGGCACTCATCAATTGTTTCAAGACAGATCTCTTTGTTATAGCTTGGCCCAGTACTGGTGTCAAGTGAAACCAAAACTTGGACAGAAAATCTGTGGGCTTTAGTTGGATTCAGGTAATAACTGAGGGCCATCTGGATATTAAGGAGCTCTGGTAGCATAGTGGCTACAAATCGGGCTGCTAACCTCAAGGTCGGCAGTTTGAAACTACCAGCTGTTCCACAAGAGAAAGATGAGGCGTTCTGCTCTCATAAAGATTTACAGCCTCAGAAACCCTGTTCAGGGTTGCTATGAGTTGGAACCGACTCCACGGTATATAACAACAACAACATCTGGATATTGGTTTCACCAAAATGAAAAGCAAACTCAGGATGAATGCTTGGAAGACTAGTCTATTTATTATAGAACTTTGTCCTAACTTTAAAAATACAAACTACTCAAATCACTACTTTTTGTGATTTACTAAGGCCTGAGGCTTACCTACTTTCTGAACCTCACTCACCTGACACTACAGCAATACTGTCTAAGTTATAATTTCAGTTGTTAGTTGCCACCAAGTTGATTTCAACTCATGCTGATCCCGTGAGTAGAGTGTAGGACTCTGCTCAATAAGGTTTACAAGACTCTAACCTTTCAGATGTAGATCACCAGGGCTGACTTCCAAAGCACTGCTGGGTGGGCTCAAACCACCAACGTTTCAGCACTTAACTGTTTGCACCACCCAGGGACTCTGAAATGCAGTTACTAATACTGAAATTATTCAAATGAGGGTTTTGATGATGATGATGATGATTACAGAACTAGTAAACAAGAGGAATTCTGAAATCATGCTTACAACCTAAGAAAAGGAAAAAAAAATGCTTAAAAGAGAAGTTCTGAATATTTTCTACATCTGATTGTTAAATACTACATCTACTGCCAAATGAACTTTGATAGGCACTACCAAAGTCCTAGGGAGCTCTGGTAGCCTGGTGGGTTATGAGTTGGGTTGCTACTACAAGGTCAGCAATTTAAAACTACCTGTAGCTCCGTGGGACCAAGAAGAGGCTTTCTGCTCCTATAAAGATTTACAGCCTTGGAGACCCTAGGTGGGGTCACTATGAGTCAGAATCCACTCCACGGCACATAACCACCATCACCACCACCTAAGTCCTGGAGAATTTAAAGAGTCCTAGTGTGGAGCTGTGGGTTAATGCACCAGACAGCAAAGCTGTTTGAACTGCAAGGTCGGTGGTTCAAGCTCACCAGCTGCTCCTCAGAAACCCTATACAGTGTCGTTATGGGTTGGAATCGACTCGATGGCACTTAACAACAACAATATATTTACGCAGTAGTGCTGTGTGTGTCTCGATACTGCTGGTGTGGTGCTGTAGGATAAGCACTGGACCATAAGGTTGGTTTGAACCTCAAGGATGCTCTTCAGAAACCCAGGGTTGCTATGACTCAATGGCACTTAACAATAACATCCTTGTGTGCCATACTTTAAGTACTTCACATATATTAACTAAGCTAATCTCCCACCCACTTTGTGAAAGATAAGAACTGTTACTATCCCAATTTACAGCTGAGAACACCAGAACACAAAGGAATAAGGTAGCCATCCTTGGTGAGTGGTAGAACTGGAATTGAATCCCACACTCTACTACTGAGACCAAGGCTGGATCCCAGTAAAACACACAAGATAGTCACACTGCTCTCTTGGGCAAGGAAACAGGTATATACTGTTGGTATATACAGTATATATCAAGAATGGCAAGGAGAGAAGGAAAATGGCTTAATGGTTAAAGACACAAGTTTGGGAGCCAGACTGCTCAAATGTCTGTTGGTTCAGATGCTGGTTGTACCTCACTGGCTGGAAGATCTTGGGCAAGTCATTTAACCTTTCTGTAGCTCAGTTTTTCTGTCTGTAAAAACAGATGATAATAATCTAACTTAGCTCATAGGTTGCTATGAAGATTAAATGTGTTACTGTTTTAAAAGTATTTAAAATAGTACCTGTTGCATAGGAAGCAACTTGTTTAAAAACATTCTTTTAAGATTTTTTCAGGAAATATTGTTTGACGTAACACACGTGTCTGGACACATGTAGACTTATGTCTTGTCTTCTATCTCATAGAAACTTTATTCAATGTGACTTATGACGTTCATCATATGACATTCTGGGCATTTAGAGTATGAATTCTGAAACTAATGAGTATGTTTGATGTTCTGTGGATACTGTATAAGTAACTTTAATCCATTTTGTTATAAAGCATAAATATACTTAAAAGCAATTTATAAGATTTTGGAAATTTCAAAGCATCAATTGTTAAGCAAGTATTTTATCTGGCTTATAAACTGCTTTCACAGTTAGTTGATGGGTCTGTTACATACTTTATATCTTATAAATGATTATCAAACATATTAGTTCATATCATATTAGTTCATATCATAAGAACTAATAATATTTACTGAAGAAATCACTGAAATGAGGTATATTCTAAAACTATTATTTAAAATAATTCCTGGGTGGCACAAATGGTTAAGTGTTAGATTACTAAGTGAGAGATTGGCAGACCAAACCCACCCAGAAGAACCTCCGAAGAAAGGTCTGTTGATCTGTTTCTGAAAAGGTATAGCCTTGAAAACTCTATGGAACACAGTTCTACACTGCAACACATAGGGTTGCCATGAATCAACCTAATAGCAACTGGTTTAAGGTCCCCATGGTGCCCAAGTGGTTTGAGTTTGTCTACCCTTCTAAAGGCTGGTAGTTTCAACCCACTCAGAGGAACCTTAGAAGAAAAACCTGGCAAACTACATAAGCAAAGATTACAGCCAAGAAAATTCATTGGCAACAAGACTCTCTGGGCCAGCCAGACCATCTCACAAACTCCTGAAATATCATGCTCACTATTCCCCATTTTTGTTTATACTATTTTATCCATCTATAATGTTTCCCTCACCCAGTCTTCATTCACTGACACACTCATTCATTCAACAAACATATGACAAGATTAAATATGTGTTGTTGTTGTTAAGTGCCGTCGAGTTGATTCAGACCTAAAACGACCCTGTATAGGGCTTCCAAGGAGCGACTGGTGAGTTTGAACCATCGATCTTATAGTTTAAACGAAAGTATTGTATTAAGTGATGGAGATACAATAATGTATAAGATTTCCCCCCTGCCCTCAACAACTCACCCAAATAAGTTTTATCATCTTAAGGAACCTATTTTCTCTTTAAGTCTTTCCAAAGCAAGCTTTCTAAGTTGGTCCAGCACACATCAACCTTCCAATACTTATTTTTCTATTCTCTTGAATTGTGAATTATTTTTATAAAGTAGTTCCATTTCCCCAATAAGACTGCAATGTCCTTGAGATAAGGAACGCAGTGGCTCTGCAGGATAAGCACTGGACTGCGAGTCCACCAGTCACTGCATGGAAGAAAGATGAGGCTTTCTGCTCCCACAAAGATTTACAGCCTCAGAACCCCTCTGCAGGGTTCCTATGAGTTAGAATTGACTCCACAGCACTTCACAACAACAACAATCTTTGAGATAGGAAGCAGATTTTAGTATCATTATTATTAAATACTAAATGCACAGTAGGCACACAAAACTGTTAGAAATGAAATTGTCTAACTCAAGCTAGGATTTATTTTCCTTAAATTAATCTTTAGGATTAAGAGGCTAATGCTTTGAAAGCCATAACATTTCCAGCAGAGTTAATAATATCATAAGAGTTCTTAGGCGGCAGCCCCAACTGTCATGTCATCCTTCCTTACTCCCTGCACTCCTGCCGGAAATGGTCAAACCAGTTATGCATGTAGACACAGTAATTCCCTACTCAAAATTTTGTACACTTTTGAGTCTGATTCACGTGATTAGTGAGTGAATCATTCAGTACTCAATCTGCAAACCAGTGGACTACGCAAAGGAGACAGAATTCTTAACTTTGCACAGAAGGAAGGGAGGTGATCAACATAAGAATATTACTGAAAGAATGTCCATCAGTTTACTGACATTCAGGGAAAACAAATTTACATATTAGCCTGACAAGAGACTTTCGAAAGATAACATGTTGTCATATGTAGATGTGTAGGTAGGTATAAGTCATAATGTGTATATAGTTCATGTTTAAAGCAAATCATTTTCAAAAACACTGAAGATTTTCATGAGAATTCATATTCAATTAAGGTGGTATTATCTGCAACTTTATCAACTGAAAAGTTCTTTTAAAAGGAATAATACTATACTGCAATTGAAATGTTTAATCTAGTGACTGGCATTAATTTACAGTAATTGGTAGTGCATATTTTCTAGGAGGCACATTCTTACCTTGCAAACATTCTAAATGAGTGTGCAAAAATGGTGTGCAACATCTGACTGCTTCTAACTTCACTACAGGGGGAGAGAAGCACCAGCTGCTCAGGCCAATTCCTGAAGGCAGTGTCCTCCACCTACCAAACTTTTTCTCAACCCTGAAACCAACTGTCCCTCCCACAGCACTCTCCACTTCTCTGCTGGGTTAGACTATTCTTGGCAATGCCACACAGAATTCACCGACATGCTCACAGCTATGGGGTTTATTACAGGGAAATTGTTAGGTGCTGTCCAGTCAGTTCCGACTCACAGTGGCCCTGTGTACAACAGAGTGAAACACTGCCCGATCCTGTGCCATCCTCACAAATGTTCCTCCACCTGAGCCCACTGTTGCAACCAACAGGTCAATCTACCTTGTTACAATTCAGGATCAGATGCTCACAGACACACTTCTCTCTGACCTGGCCTCTCAGGCACACATGCTGTTGACTTCTGCCTGACTCTTTTAAGTTCTACTGATCAACTCCCACTCTGCGAATAAGCCTGTTCTGAAGGCATTGAGTTCTCCTGCTCTAGAAGCCCACACTCTGTGTCCCGCTAGTCTCCTGGTTCTGCTGCCTCTGTTGCCACTGCTTTTTTTTTTTTAAGGTTTTTTTTTGTGGATTGAGTGAAAGTTTACAGGGCACATCATCAGTTAGTTTTACATTCAACAAATCTTATTTCATTACAATGATTATAATCCCCTCCACATACCATCAGTTAACTGTATTTCTCTCTATTCAATTTCTCTCTCTCTTTTTTTTTTTTTTAAAACACTCAGGCACATACAATAATTTACACCACCAAAGGGTACATTCTGCAAGTCTGCCTCCTGGTTGCCATCTCTTAGTCCCTCTCTCTTCCCACGAATCTAGAGTCCTCAGCAGCTCCCTCTCTCCAGGTCCCCATCTCTGCCTCCATCTCTGGTGTCACTGCTTCTCTGAATAAGGTCTCACATTCTGCTTTGCTCTTACCCTTGATGGTCCTAGGGTCCTTTGTTTCTGGACTGTTAAGATTAACTACTCCCTGTTTTTGTAACAAAACTTCTACCTTTACAATTGTGACAGTCGCAATTCGTCATGCTAAAATTACTCACTATTGAGTCATAAGAATCTTATCCCCATCTCTTTTAACCAGGTCCATCTAGACAAGATGAAAACTTCAGTGGGGACTCTTTAATCCCCCCCACACTAATAAACTAAACTCCCCCTTGAAACCTTGTAAGCCAGTCACTTCGTGTCTTTATCACCCACTCATTTTAGGTAGCCAATGTCTAAGTTGCCCATCCCTATCTACCTTGTGTACAAAGGGGATAGCATTGATACTTGATGTGAAGACTCCTTCCCTCTCTGTTGGTATTTAGAGTAACTACCTCCATGTTCATCAAATTGTAGCAGTTTACCCTGTTTCCTTTATCAAAAATTGCTTTGTTCTCACTCTCTCTTTTTTTATTTTTTATCTTCCTCTAGTCATGGAGTTCTGATTATTAAGTCATCAAATGGGTACTAATCTGCAACTTTGGGTGTTCTTGTGTATCTCCCCTCACTTCATATCAGCTGGATGCTTCACTCTCAGCTCTAGCCCTCTGTGGCTATGTCCATGGGCTCAGGAGTCCCCAGATCTCACCACACTTTGGGCCAACCAGCCCTTCCTCTTCTCTCTCTCATTTCCAGCGGGAGTCTACGGAACATGGTTGAACTCAGCCCATTTCTTCATTGCTGCCTTCCCCCCCCTTCCACTCACCAGTAGACCAATGTGATCACCAGCAAACTTGCATGTCTGCTCATGTGTTCCCGTTGAGTTTCAGTCGAACAACTTAACTTATTCTTGTAGTAGCCAGTCATACTGCCATTTTTGTTTTGGGTTTTTCCTGATGATCTGTCTTTGAAGATGTATCTTCTGTCGCTCTAGCTGTTCTAGGCTGTCACTGCTTCCTTGCCATGTCTCACCATCTGCCACTGTCCCTGGGTCTAGGAGGTTCATCTCTGGGATCTCATGCTGCACTCTACTCATGGTTCTCCTTTCTTCATGTAGTGAGATCTCTCTGCCTCTGGGATGGTTCATTTTCAATCTTGCAGAATGGTAAACGGACCAATCCGTATTTGTATGGTCCAACCCCACAAGAATACTAGGCTCCTTATTTGCATTATTAACAAGCTAACTAATTCCCTTGGTGTGTCACAAGCACCTCACATTTGCACAGTTCCATCCACAGTGTGGCGCTATAGGATAAGCACTGAACTGCTAACCACAAAGCTGGCAGCTCAAACCCACTAGCCGTTGCTTGGAAACCCTATACAGGGTGAATACGAGTCAGAACTAACAACAACACCCAGTCATTTGGCAGGGGTTACAGAGACTATGGTTAGAGTAATTCACTGCATGTCAGAGTAGAATAATCACAACTTATATATTATAAATTATAAAGTAATCATTATACTTTACAAAATCCTATATGGCAAGAATCCATCTTTCCTTACACCATCTTTTGGTCTCTTACCCCATAAAACAGAAACCACCCAAAACCAAAATAAATCTTTTAAACATAATGATTGATTTTTAAAGTATCCCATTTATCTTACATTTAGTTTTTAGTGTGCATACTTGTTAAACTTTTAATCTCTTATATAAATAAATCACTGTTATAAAAGGTCAGTAGTAAAGCACTCTTACCTTCTTCAGTCATATATTTGACCAGTTCTTCCTTAGTGAGAAACCCACGTTTAGCTGAATCTAATACCTAAGGGAAAAAAGAGATAAGCTTTATAATTTCTGTTTGATAAGTAAATTCGACATTACCAGCTTTTTAAGACAAATATACATTAATAAATGAAATCTGGAGCTTACATACCTCAAAGGCATGAAGAAGGACATCTTCTGGAATTGGTCTGTATCTATAATTATGCAATACAGAAATAAGTGCTATATAGTATTTCTCTTCAGTCTCTACATAATAAATGACTACATAAATTAAAAATTGCAACATACTAGTCTAATTAAATTTCCCTCACTGAAATATTTTTGGATTTCTGGATATGAAAGTTGAAGGAACCCCCACCCTCATAGGAAATACTTAATTCAAAATCGCTGGTATAACATTTATTCAATCTCTGTGCAGAGTAAATAATCTGAGAAGTTGGATTATATGATGAAGAACATGGCATCAGGATTGAAGGAAGGGTCATTAACAACCTGTGAAATGCAGAGGATGCAGCCTTGCTTGCTGGATGCAAAGAGGACATAAAATACTTACTGATTCAGTATTGCTTGCACATCAGTGTAAAGAAAACCAAAATACAATTGTACCAATAAATAACATCATGAAAACGGAGAAAAAAAAAAATCGCTGGTATATCTGATGTTATATTAGCCTTTTTCATTGCTATGTAAACCTCTTCTATAAAACAATTATGATAAGTTAACGATACACTTTTGCTAGAAAAATAATTAGGATCAATTCTTATTTATCACTGGAAATTCAAGATTTTGTTGTTGTTAAGGGTCACTGTGTCTTTTCTGACTCATAGGGTTTCCAAGCTGGTGGCTTTGAACCATTGACCTTGTAGATAGCAGGCCTGTGCTTATCCTACAACACCACATCAGGACTCCTCAATGGTATTTTTGTTGTTGTTAGGTGCCATTGAGTCGGTACCAACTCATAGCGACCCCATGCACAGCAGAATGAAACACTGCCCGATCCTGGGCCAATCTCACTACTGTTGTCACACCTGAGCCCACTAATGCTGCCACTCTGCCAATCCATCTCACTGGGGGTCTTCTTATTTTTCTCTGACCCTCCACCCTACCAAACATGATATCCTTCTTCAGCGACTGGTCTCTTCTGACAACATGTCTGATGTATGAGAGACAAAGTTTGGCCATCCTGGCCTCCAAGGAGCACTCTGGCTGCACTTCTTCCAACACAGATCTATTGGTTCTTTTGGCAGCCCATGGCACTTTCAATATTCTTCTCCAACACCCTAACTCAAATGCGTCAATTCTTCTATGGTCTTCCTTATTCACTGTCCAGCTTTCGCATGTATATGAGGTTACTGAAAATATCATGGCTTGGGTCAGGTGCACCTTAGTCCTCAAGCTGACATCTTTGCTCTTCAACACTTTGAAAAGGTCTTGTGCAGCAGATTTGCCCAAAGCAATACATCGTTTGATTTCTTGACTGCTGCTTCCATGAGTGTTAATAGTGGATCCAAGAAGAATGAAGTCCTTGACAACTTCAATCCTTTCTCTGGTGATAAGAATGTTGTTTATTGGTCCAGTGGTGAGAATTTTTGTTTTCTTTACATTAAGATGCAAGCCATACTGAAGGTTGTGCTCTTTGATCTTCATCAGTAAATATTTTAAGTCTTCTTCACTTTCAGCAAGCAAGATTGTATCATCTGCACATCGCAGGTTGTTAATGAGTCTTCCTCCAATCCTGATGCCACATTTTTCTTCATAGAACCCAGCTTCTCGTATTATTTGCTCAGCATACAGGTTGAATAAGTATGGTGAAAGAATATAACCCTGTCGCACACCTTTCTTAACATATATTAGATTAAAATACGACATTCAAAACAGGAGATAATAAAATGTTGATTTATGATTATTGCAACTTACTTTGGGAGCATAGTGGCTGTACAGGATAAGCACTGTACTGTGAATCAGTGGTTTGAGCCTACCAGCTGCTATGAAGGAGAAAGATGAGGCTTTCTGTTCCCTCAAAGATTTATAGCCTCAGAAATCCTGTACAGGGTCGCTATGAGTTGGAAAGAACTCTACAGCACTCAACAACAAAATCAACAACTTGCCCTTTAATTAGACTAATTCTAAAGTGGCTGATATTTCTAAGCATATAACAACCGGTAGTTCAAAAGTATAGTAAAAGGTTAGAAGGAAGCTACCTTAAGATAAACGCTGGTTAAATACACCAAGTGAAAATACTAAGTAGTTTGAAAATAACATAATTCTAATTATTTTGCCTAAGAAATACATTTACTTTCCTACCTTCTTTCCAATAGCACTTCGGTCATCACTGGAAGAAATTTTTCTAATCGAATGTATCCAGTTGGCTCTTCTTCTTCCACCTAAATAAGCAACAAAGAAATCGTCATTCATCATTCCATAAATGTTTTCATAGTTTCAATGGTTCAGTGCTCGGGATTTGGTGATGAATACTTAGACATGATTCCTGTTCACAGAGTTTATATTCTGGTTTGGGAGACACAGTAATAACAATAAAATAAAAACCCAAATGAAGGGTTTAATTATAAATTTCCACCCCTCGTCTGTCAGTGTGTTGTAGTATTGTAGTATGTGGTGTTGTGATGCTGGAAGCTATACTACAAACATTTCAAATAGCAGTAAGATCTCCCCTGGGGAACACCTTTCAGTAGAGCTTCCAGCCATGAAGGTGGACCTGGCAGTTTATTTCTGGAAAACTCAGTCAGTGATAAATGTATGAGGAGCAGCAGAACATTGTCTAACATAGTGCTAGAAGGTAAGTCCCTTAGGGTGGCAGTCACTGAAAATACAACTGGGGAAGAGGTGCCTCCTCAAAGCAGAATTAACTCTAATGACCCAGATAAAGTAAAAATTTCAGCATTCATTTGCTGATGTGGCATGACTCAAAATGCGAATAGTTGCAAACATCATTAATAACTGGAATGTGAAATGTACAAAGCACGAATCTAAGAAAATTAAAAGTCATCAAAAATAAAATGGAATGCTTGAATATTAATATTCTAGGAATTAGTGAGCTGAAATGGACTGGTACTGACCATTTTGAATCAGAAAAATATATGGTCTACTATACTGATGTAAAAGGAGCTCTGGTAGCGTAGTGGTTATGAATAGGGCTGCAAACTGCAAGGTCAGCAGTTTGAAACGACCAGCTGTTCCACAGGAAAAAGATGAGGCTTTCTGCTCCTGTAAAGATTTACAGCCTTGGAAACCCTGTACACGGTCACAATGAGTTGGAACCGACTCCACAGCACATAACAACAACATACTGGTATGGCGCTGTGGGTTAATGCACTGGACTGCAAAGTTGGTTTGAACTGCAAGATGGGTGGCTCAAGCTCACCAACCACTTCTTGAAAACCCTGAACAGGGTCACTATGGGTCAGAACCAACTTGATGGCACTTAGCAACAACAATACTGGGAGTCCTGGTTTTGTGCTGTAGGATAATGCATTGGACCACAAGGTTGGTTTGAGTCATGAGGTTGGTAGTTCAAACCCACCAGCGGCAACTCAGAAACCCTATACAGGGTAGCTATAAGTCAAAATAAACTTTGATGGCAAGTAACAATAACAACAACATGCTGGGAATGGAAGATAAAAGAGGAATAGTGTTGGATTCATTATCAGAAAGAATATATCTATCCTGAAGTGAAACACTGTCCATACACATACAAGGAAGACCAGGGAGTCTGGTGGCTCTATTAGGATAAGCACTGGACTGCAAACCACAAGGTTGGCGATTTGAACTCACCAGCCACTTTGCCTGGGAAAAAGATGAGGGTTTCTGCTTCCGTAGAAAAGCCTTGGGAATCATAGACAGGGTCACAGAGTTGGAAGCAACTCAACGGTACTTAACAACAACAACAGCAAGGAAGACCAGTTAATACTACTATTACTCAAACTTACACATCAAGCACTAATGCCAAAAATGATGAAAATAAAGATTTTTACCAACTTTTGCAGTCTGAAATCGATCAAACATAAAATCAAGATGCATTAATAGCTACTGCTGATTGGAATGTGAAAGTTGGAAACAAAGAATTGATGTTGTTGCTAAGTGCTATAGGTACTTACTCATAGCGACCCTAAGCACAACAGAATGAAGCACTGCCCCGTCTTGTGACAGCTTCACAACTGGTATGTTTGAACCACTGTGTTACTGTGTCAATCCCTCTATCTTGTTGGGAGTCTTCCTCTTTTTCACTTTTCCAAGCATGATGCTCTCCTACAGAGACTGGTTCCTTGTACATATCCCACATATGAGAGTCATCCTCATTTAAGGGGCGTTCTGACTGTAGTTTTTCCAAGACAGAGTTGTTTGTTTTCTGGGAGTCCATGGTACTTTGAATATTTTTCACCAAGACCATTACTCAAATGCATCAATTCTTCTACATTCTTTTTTATTCACTGATCACCTTTCACAAGTGTATGAGGCGAATGAAAATACCATGGCTTGGGTCAGGTGCACCTTAATCCTCAAACTGACATATTTGCTCTTGAACACTTTAAAGTGGTCTTGTGCAGTAGATTTGCCTGATTTGATTCCTTGACTGATGCTCCCATGAGCAATAACTGTGGATTCAAGCAAACTGAAGTGTTTGACAACTTCCATCTTTTCTCCATTTATCATCATGTTATTTATTGGTCCAGTTGTGAAAATTTTTGTTTTCTTTACACTGAGGTGCAATCCATACTGAAGCCTATATTCTTTGATATTCAAGTCCTCTACCCTTCCAGCAAGCAAGGTAGTGTTGTATGCATATCCCAGGTTGTTAATGAGTCTTCTTTGATCCTGATGTGACATGCTTCTTCAAAAATTGCAGACTCTTGGATTATTTGTTCAGCAAATAAGTATGATTGAATAAGTATGATAAAAGGATAAAATCCTGGCACATTTCTTTCCTGATTTAAAAATATTCAGTATCCCCTTGTTCTGTTCTAATGACAGCCTTTTGGCCTCTGTATAGGTTGAATTATCTTTAACAATATTTTACTTGCATATGACATTAATGATATTGTTGGATGATTTCCACATTCCATTGGGTAACCTCTCTTTGGAATGGGCACAAATATGGATCTCTTCCAATTGGTTGCCCAGATAGCTGTCTTCCAAATTTCTTGCCATATATGTGAATGTTGCATCAGTTTGTTGAAAGATTTCAATTTATGTTCTACAAACTCCTAGAGCCTTGCTTTTCACCAATGCCTTCAGTGCAGGTTGAATTTCTCTTTCTTCAGTATCATTGGTTCTTGATCGTATGCTACCTCTTGAAATGGCTGAACATTGACCAGTTCTTTTTGGTACAGTAAATCTGTGTATTCTTTCCATCTTCTTTTGATGCTTTCTGTAACAATTTATATTTTGCCCATGAAGACTTTGAATACTGCATCTTGAGGCTTGATCTTTTTCTTCATTTCTTTCAGCTTGAGAAATGCTTTTGTTTTTCGAAACTCCAGGTCTCTGTACATTTCATTGTAATACTTTATTTTGTCTTCTTGAGCTGTCTTTTTAAATTTTCTGTTTAGCTCTTCTACTTTCTCATTTCTTCCAGTCACTTTAGCTTCTCTGTGCCCAAGAACAAGTCCCAGAGTCTCCTCTGACATCCATTTTTGTCTTTTCTTTCTTTCCTGTCTTTTTAATGACCTTTTGCTTTCTTCGTGGATGATGCTGTTGATGTCATCCCACAGTTCTGGTCTTTGGTCATCAGTGTGTAATGCATCAAATCGGCTTTAAAGATGGTCTTTAGATTCAGGTGGGATGTACTTAAAGTCATATTTTGGCTCTTTTAATTTACTTCATCTTCAGCTTGAACTTGCATATGAGCAATTGATGGTCTGTTTAACAGTCTGCCCCTGACCATGTTTTGGCTGATGATATGGAGCTTCTTCAACATCTCTTCCCACAGATGTAGTCAATTTGATTCCTGGGTATCTGTCTGGTGAGGTTCACGTGTATATTGTTTTAAAAGGAACTCGGTGTGGAGCTGTAGAATAAGCACTAGATTGAGAACCACAAGACTGACAGTTCAAATCCACCAGCATGCTCCTTGGAAACCCATTACAGAGTCACTATTAGTCGGAACTGACTTGATAGCACTTAACAACAACACCAAAGGTATTTTCAATGAATAAGTTGTTGATTTTGCAAAATTCTACTGTGCTTCCTCCAGCATCATTTCTATTACTAAGGCCATATTTTCCAAATACTGATCCTTCCACTTTGTTTCCAACTTTTACATTCCAATCACCAGTAATTATCAATGCATCTTGACTGTATATTTGGTCAATTTCTGACTGAAGCAGTTGATAGGATTCTTCAATTTTATCATCACTGGCTTTAGGCATTGGTGTGTAAATCTGAATAAGAGTGGTATTAACTGGTCTTCCTTGTAGGCATATAGATATTATCTTATGACAGACAGCATTATACTTCAAGATAGATCTTAAAATGTTCTTTTTAATGATGAATGTGGTGCCACTCCTCTTCAATTTGATGTTCTGGTAAACCATATGAGGTTCATAGTAAACCATATGATTGTCAGATTCAAAATGGCCAATACTAGACCATTTCAGCTCACTAATCCCAAGGATATCTATCATTTTGTGTTCCATTTCATTATGACAACTTCCAACTTTTCTACATTCATACTTTGTACATTCCATGTTCTGATTATTAATAGATGTTTGCAGCTAGTTCTCCTCCCTTGAGTTGAGCCTCATCAGCAAATGACAGTCACAAAAGTTTTACTCCATCCACATTGCTAAGATCAACATTATTTTGAAGAGGCAACTCTTCCCCAGTCATATTTTGAGCGCCTTCCAACCTGAGGGGTTCATCTTCCTGTACTGTACTTGACAATATTCCACTGATATTCATAAGGGTTTTGGTAGCTAAACATTCAGAAGTAGTCTGCCTCTTCTTTTTCCTCTACTGTTCTAATCTGGAAGATTCACTGTCCACCATAGATGACCTTGCTAGTATTTAAAGTACTGGGCCATAACTTCCAGCATCACAGCAACATGCAAGCCACCACAGTACAACAAACTAACAGACGAGGTGTGGCAAATTGTTTTAATACTTATTAAATCCCTAGATGTTATATAAAGAAGCCCTGGTGGTATAGTCGGTTACTCATTGAGCTGCTAACTACAAGGTCATCAGTTCAAATCCACCAGCTCTTTGTGGGAGAAAGATGAAGTATCTGTTCCCATAAAGATTTACAGCCTCAGAGACCCTACACAGGGTCATTATGAGTTGGAAATGATTTGACGACACACAACCACTACCAGATGGTATACAGAACTTCACTATTATTGTTAAGTGCCATCAAGTCATTTCTGAC